GGGGGGGCGGGGCATAAGAGAGTGTACACACCTATCCGGTACAATTCTGATTTTGCAGAATCTTTTCAATTTCACCAGTATATTCCAGTTCGATTCTACCTGACTTCGAAGTATGCATTTCTTTAGAACGGATTTATATCGCATGTGAACAGGCCTGTCAGTTTTTCTACACGCTTGAGGTTGTCACTTTACCACCATTATCTCGCGATTGTCTCTCTCTTTCTCGTTCTCTCTCTCTCTCTCTCTCTCTCTCTCTCTCTCTCTCTCTCTCTTTCTTTCTTTCTCTCTCTCTCTCTCCTCTCTCTCTCTCTCTCTCTCTCCACCATTCACCACCATCCTCTCCTCCCCTCTCTCCCCAGCCAGCACAATGTGCAAACAGACCTGTCAGTCCTTCTACACGGATGAGGTGGTCACTATCGACGTGGACGTCTCAGACGGTACCCCTTGCAGCTACACAGGGAATAACAGCAACATCTGTATGATGGGGAAATGTCTGGTGAGTTGTTGGTGAGATGGGGAAATGTCTGGTGAGTTGTTGGTTACATGGGACTGTATCTAGTGATGGGACAACATCTGTATGATGGGGAAATGTCTGGTGAGTTGTTGATTACATGGGACTGTATCTAGTGATGGGACAACATCTGTATGATGGGGAAGTGTCTGGTGAGTTGTTGGTTACATGGGGAAATGTCTGGTGAGTTGTTGGTGAGATGGAAAAATGTCTGTTGAGTTGTTGGTTACATGGGACTGTGTCTGGTGATGAGACAGCATATGTGTGATGGGGAAATGTCTGGTGAGTTTTTGGTGAGATGGGACAACATCTGTATGATGGGGAAATGTCTGGTGAGTTGTTGGTTACATGGGACTGTGTCTGGTGATGAGACAGCATATGTGTGATGGGGAAATGTCTGGTGAGTTGTTGGTGAGATGGGACAACATCTGTATGATGGGGAAATGTCTGGGGACTTGCTGATGAGATCGGACAACATCTGTATGATAGGGTGGGTTGTTGTTTGACACGGTGGGGACGTGTCTGGTGATGGGGAAATGTCTGGTGAGTTGTTGGAGTGATGGGACTATGTCTGGTGATGGGGAAATGTCTGGTGAGTTGTTGGAGTGATGGGACTATGTCTGGTGATGGGGAAATGTCTGGTGAGTTGTTGATGTATGTTGAGATGGGGAAATGTTTGGTGAGTTGTCTGGTGAGATGGGACTATGTCTGGTGATGGGACCTTACAACATCTGTATGTGGGGAAATGTCTGATGCTGGGGAAATGTCTGGTGAGTTGTTGTTTGGTGAGATGGTATAACGGTTGGGCGCTTCGCTGTCGCAAGCAGAAGTCTCGAGAACGATTCCCGAATTGGGAGAATCTTTGTCGGGTATCTCGATCTTTCTGGTAGGGTGTTGCATCCCTCTCAGTTAATGTTGGCCCTGACAGGTAGAGCTGAAGCTCACTCTTAAATTATCTAGAATTTGTTAATTGGGGCTTAAAAACATGTACATAAGACAGAAATCAAATCATAAATATTCTTTTAGGAGGTAGCCATTAACAATCTATTTATGGAAACATCAGCCATTATGTCTTTCTCCTCTGTCAATATATTACCTTTTCCATTAAGCTTTACTCATCCAGAACCTGTGATTTCTAATTATGGAGTTTGCCTACAATTCTTGTACCAATTAGGATGTGGGCTGTGACGGAAAGATCAACTCTACCAAGCGCGCGGACCGCTGTGGGATGTGTGAGGGAGATGGCTCCGAGTGCAAGGTGGTGCAAGGATACATCGTGAAAAAAGCCAAGTCTCGTGAGTAAATCATACGTCATGGTCTTGGGTGGATGGATGAAAAACATATGGGTGGATGGATGTATAGATGGATGGATGTATGGATGTATGGTTGGATGGATAGATGGATGGATGGATGGATGGGTGGATGGATGGATGGGTGGATGGAGGGAGGGAGGAAGCGAAGGAGGGAGGGAAGGAGGGAGGAATGGATAGATGGATGAAGGGATGGAGGGATGGAGGGATGGAGGGAGAGATAGAGGGAGGTATGCATGGCTGGATGGATAGATAGAGAGATAGATAGGGAGAGAGAGAGAG